GCAATTAGCATTGTGGGAACCATATTATATTTCATGCACTTTGTAGGTCAGTTGTGGTGTCAATTCTGCTTCTACTACTAGAATTATCATAACTTGAAATATTATATCATACAACAATTACCATTTGAGTTTATCTGATGCTGCTGCTGGAAGGAAAACTGGAGTAAAAAGCAATATATTCAAAAACATGTTTAGATGTGAGAAAATCCTAGGAAGAGAGCTAAACTACTGCTAAGGCATGCCATGCATGAATTTAAGAGTCAGCTCTCTGAAATAGTACAGCTCATACAACTTAATTAAAATATTCGTGAAGCTTCTACTTTTAGAAGCAGTTTACTCTATAACATTCACATACATCCAAAAATTATAGCTATTTCAGAACAGGTGGGGACTGCGTATCCTGATGAAGGGCATATTACAGAGCAATGTGGATCAGGGCACATATAAATTGTATGAGATGTAACAGTTTCCCAATAAAACTAGGTACAAACAAGGACTCCCATTCCCTCACTCCTAGTAACCATCATACTAAAGATGCCATCCAGAACCCCCGGAGTGGGAGAAAACAACTATGACAAAAAAATTTGCCCTCTCCATAGCTCAAATGATCGTGTATGTAACAACAGAAAGAATATGAAGATAATCATAGAATCAGATTTTCAGTAGGTTTCAAGAATGCAAACTCAATATAAAAATGCATTTAAAATTTTTAGAAACAAGCAGTTAAAAAGTAAATTTTAAGATGACATAGATTTTTTTTTTTTTAAAGATGACCGGTAAGGGGATCTTAACCTTTGACTTGGTGTTGTCAACACCACGCTCACCCAGTGAGCAAACCGGCCATCCCTATATAGGGATCTGAACCAGTGGCCTTGGTGTTGTCAGCACCGCACTCTCCCAGTGAGCTAACCGGCCATCCCTATATAGGGATCTGAACCAGTGGCCTTGGTGTTGTCAGCACCGCACTCTCCCAGTGAGCTAACCGGCCATCCCTATATAGGGATCTGAACCAGTGGCCTTGGTGTTGTCAGCACCGCACTCTCCCAAGTGAGCCACGGGCTGGCCCTTAGGCCTAAATAATTTTGATCATTCTTTATGGCCAAATTTTCAAAGGAAGTTCATATATCCTGAGGGAAACCTGCAACATGCTGTGGGGGCATATAAAGCCACAGGATAAAAATGGCTCATTTTCTAAGAAGATCCTTTGGATTAAAGACTTTTAGGGGAAAGTGTAAGTAATCTAACAGATATGTAACTTATCAGAGGTATGTTACCGAGTACAAAAAAATCTTTTGAAATTTTAAGATAAAATGCAAGACTTTGAAGGAATTTCATGCTAATAGCAAGCTACATTAGGTGTGAGTCTCAGACTCTTCAGGCTACACAAAAGGTTCTCATCATTGGAGGGTATCTAATCCTGGGAAATGGTCACTTACAGTGAATCCACTCAAAATGGGGACTGAATATTTCATACTAAATAATTGGGAAAAGTGTGGATTAGAATTGTACATTGAAATTTAAACCATAAAAATATGAAAAATAAGTTTCTTACTACAAAGAGCCATCCTCCCCCATTCAACTTAGATAAGACTGGTGGATGTCCTTGTTTACCTGTGACAAGAGGGTAACAGACCCTCCCAATTCCCTTACTTTGACTCATAAATTATTAGCTGAACTAAGACATTATTAAGAAATTATTAGCGACCCTAAGACAACATAGATTTTTTAAGTAATTATTGTTACAGCTAATTTTCTTTCAGTCCCAAACTATATCTACTGAAGGATACACAATGATCACAATAAAAAATTATATAATGTGATTGAATGACATCAAAGTAGAATGAAATAAATGGAGAGATGGCGCATGTTCTCAGAAAACAGATTCAATGACATCATGTTGGCAGCTCCCCCATACACGCCAAGAGGTTCAATAAAGTTTCATTAAATCTACAACCAGGTATCGTTTTTATATTTGTTTTGGTTTGGTTTTTTTGTCTAAACAAACAAAAATACCTACTTCTAAAATTGAAATGGAAGATAAATTTCTGAGAATGTCAAAGATTTTCTACAGGAAAAAGTTGATGTGTGCTAGGGACTATCCTAGGTGCTCATAGGGACTAGCACACATCAAGGATTGTAACACTACAGTAATTAACGAGATGATATTTGCAGAGGAATGGATAAATAGACCTATGGGGGAAAATAGAAATCTCTGACACAGGCTCACCTATTCTGGGCAAGTGGACCTATAACGGAGTCTGTGTGTGTGTGTGGACTCTGTACAGATAGTGTGTATATATATATACTAAGCTAGAAAAAAAGAGATTCAGAAATTCCCCTGTACTAAAATAGAGTCCATCAACCTCAGAATAAAGGCAGAGAAATGATAAACCACTGTCTAGGAGAAAAGATTTGCAGTTCTTACACATCAAAAAAGATGAGTGTCCAGAATGTGTAAAGAATACATATAGACTGTGGGGTCCCTCCGTTCCCCCCGCCCCCCTTTCTTCTGTGTGCTGATTGAAAGTGGTAGTGTCATGAACACTCTGTGACCCAGCCAGCTGCAAGTTTCTCCCAGCAGGCTTGAAACCAAACCTGGGCTTTCAACATTGCCTGACACTGATAGTTATCTGGGTTGTTGTCCCAAACGCTGAAAGAAACTAGTCCAGGCCCTGAGGAAATTTCTTAAACCCTTATGGATTCCATGTCCTGACCCTCTCGCTTCAGACATACCCAGGTAGCACATCCTTTCCCTCTTGCTGTCCTCCACGAGGACGTCCTGCAGCACTCTGGACGTAAGTTCCCCTGATAAATGCTCAAGACTGATCATTCTGGCCTTTACTGCTTCTTTCTTTGAAATGTCAACCAGCCCCATCACAGGAATGTTTGTGGCAGTCCTTTGTGGGAACAGTTTTCCAACACAGTTGTACCAGTTTACACTCCATAATTAGTGTATGAGAGTTCCAGCTGCTCCACATTGCCATTAACAATTGGCTCGCACCTGATTTTTTTTATCCAGTCATTCTGGTTGGGATTATAGTGGTACCTCCTGTGATTTTAATTTGCATTTCCCTGATGGCTGATGAAATTGAGCATTTTTTATATGTATATTAGCCACTTGGATAACTTCCTTTGCAAATGCCTCATTGATTTTCAGTTTTACTTTTCTGTTGTACTGTCTGCCTCCCTGTTATTAATTTGCAGCTCTTAATATATTTCTGGATATAAGTTCTATGTCAGATCTATGCATTGCATGCATCTCTGGTCGGTGGGCTGTCTTTTCACTCTCCTAATGATGCCTTTGTTGAAAACTTTTTCTTTTTTTTTAAAAAAGATGACCAGTAAGGGGATCTTAACCCTTGACTTGGTGTTGTCAGCACCACGCTCACCCAGTGAGCAAACCGGCCATCCCTATATGGGATCCGAACCCGTGGCCTTGGTGTTTTCAGCACCGCACTCTCCCGAGTGAGCCACAGGCTGGCCCCCTGTTGAAAACTTAACTGTGGTGTAATGTATTTATTTTTGTTGTTTGAATTTTAGTGAGGATAGCCTTTCTATTTTCTTGCAAATTAAACTCATGCAAACATAATAGAAATAATGTGGCGCTTTCATTCTTTCTACATATTTTGGAAGAGTTTAATTCTGCAATCACTACTTTTTTTTTTTACATTTATATTTACCTTTAGTAATCATATGTAAGCCTTCTCAATACTGTAATGGCAAGAGACCACTTTTAAAGTGCATTTGAATCCCCTCTGAATACTCTGAGGGATTATATGGAGCTACCCAAATCACTGCTGTGGATCTTGTGGGTCATTTTCTCCCTATATTATAGAATATTTTCAGAAATATAACAAATCAGTAAAACCTCACTGATAGTGGTGCTTTAACAGTGGAGTTTTGGTTGATTTCTAAGCCTGAGTTATACATGAACTCTTGGATCATGGATCTCTGTAAGAATCTGATGAAAGCTAGGGATTCTCTCTCAGAAAAAAAAAAATAAGGCACATATCCATATTTACAACTTTGCATTCTATTTTGTTCTGAGATTTGATCATCACACATACCCTTCACAGTCTTAACACAGTGGTTTTCAAACTGTGCAATCACTACTTCTTGAAGGTTGAGTATAACTTTTTTATTGTGGCAGAAACACAGATCATATTATTTACAATCTTAAGTTTTTAAGTGTACTATTAACTAATATTAAGTACATTTACATTGTTGTGAAATAGAATATAACTCACTTTTAATGACCACCTGGGACTGCTGCGGGATGTACTTCATGACTGGAAATTATACAGACACACGGACACTTGTGACTGAAGACAGTGACACCAGGCAGACACAGGGACACTTCCACCTACATCCTTGCGGACCAGCAGATATAACTACCCAGACTTTGGCATCAGGAACAAACAAGTAGAAACACACAGGACTCCCCAGGCCCGGCCTCCTGTGTTAATCACCAGGTGCACACGGTGGGAGGGTCGCGGCCTCGACCCCCTCCCGGGCCTAGCACCGCGGACCCCGCCTCGCTCGCGGTGACGTCCCCGTTAAGGGTCTTGCTCTCAAAGAGCTCAGATCACCGGGACTTGCGGGAAAGGCCGCCCCCGACCCGTCCCTCCTGCCCAGGACAAGGAGTCGTTCTGCAGCGGACACTGAGTCTGGAATTCCCGCGCACACCTGCGTCCCCGCGTTCGGAGGAGGAGGAAGGAGGGGCCGCCCCGGAGCCGGAGCGCTTTCTGCGCAGACGCGAACGCCCCGGGCGGGCGGGGTGAGCCACTCGCGTTCCCGACGTACCTGTCACTCAGGCTGCAGGGGGCGTGTCCTATAAAACTGTCTAATCAGAGTCGCTGTTGTTAGTATCATCCCACAATCAGGGGCGCTGACGTCTGCAGCCGGGTCCAATCAGAGGCCCGGGGGAGGGATCACTCTCCGCGCCGACGTGCGCGCGCGTCCCCGGTGCCCTCTTGTCCTCAGGTGCCTTCGTCCTCGTGGTTCTCTGTCTGCAGCGGTCGCGGCCCGCGGGGAAGACGCCCCGGACAACCGGGAGCGGGGCCGGACATGGTGAGCGCGCGTGGGCCGGAGCCCGAGTCCGCGGGCGGGGACGACTCCAGAGCGGGAGGCGGCGGCCTGGGGTGGGGGCTCGGGGACGGCTTGTGG